TCTAACCTCTCTGATGACACCCTGACATCCTATTGTTTAGGTCCGACCTCCTGGCGACACCCTGAAATCCTATTGTTTAGGTCCGACCACCTGGTGACACCTTGACATCCTATTGTTTAGGTCCGACCTCCTGGTGACACTATGACATCCTATTGTTTAGGTCAGACCTTCTGGTACACCCTGACATCCTATTGTTTAGGTCCGACCTCCTGGTGAGACCCTTACATCCTATTGTTTAGGTCCGACCTCCTGGTGACAACCTGACATCCTATTGTTTAGGTCCGACCTCCTGGAGACACCCTGACATCCTATTGTTTAGGTCCGACCTCCTGGTGACACCCTGACATCCTATTGTTTAGGTCCGACCTCCTGGTGACACCCTGACATCCTATTGTTTAGGTCCGACCTCCTGGTGACACCCTGACATCCTATTGTTTAGGTCCGACCTCCTGGTGACACCCTGACATCCTATTGTTTAGGTCCGACCTCCTGGTGACACCCTGACATCCTATTGTTTAGGTCCGACCTCCTGGTGACACCCTGACATCCTATTGTTTAGGTCCGACCTCCTGGAGACACCCTGCCTGATATTATCAGATCACTGGTGACTGATCTCAATATCACCAATGCTGGAATACTCTACGATGAAAGTTTCGGTCAGTTTAATGAATCAAAAGAATTGAATCTTTGTCACAAACTCAAATTATCCAATTCCTATATATTCTTAACCTGATGATGTAAACATTTGATATTTCAAACTGTAATTGGTCTGTCAGATCAAATAGTCGAAGATTGAAATATCGAAGTTTTATGCCATTGGTTTGCAACAATATGGGGAATTACTTTTATATAAATTTTAATGTTTAATTAAATAGTTTCTATTAATGTAAAAAAACGTTCTTCTAAAAAAAAGAACATTTAGTGTACATCTATATTCAGTTGTATATTACAATTCATTTATCGCATATTCGCATCCACAATGGTAAACACAATATTTTCTAAAAGTAAAGGAATTTACAGTCCTTTGAAATCAACCAACGGGTAAAGGGAAAATTGTTCCTTTGATTGGGTCTTTGCCACAAACTAATTTTTTCTAATCTCCATATCTTTGCAACCTGATGTTTCAAAGATATCATATAGGGATCAGAATATCAGATTGTGTGGCAAAGACTCAATTCCTTTGACTGCAGAACATTATGTGTGTTCCTGAAATGTCATTCAAATGTTATATTTCATTTTTATTTGATAATTGTTTAGTTATGGATCACAAATACAGAAGCCTACTGCTCAACCTCCCAACTAGGAACAATATTAAATATTTGAAAAAACATACAATCAATTTTTTTTAAATGATAAAATTTTTATCAAAGAAATCAATTAAACATGGTTCCCATTTTCATACAGTGAGACCCTTCAAACTTTGGAATAGGAAGATGACTGTAAGACTGTTATGAATTTAATTGTCTATTTTAGAAGTGCATTTATTGCTTCTGTTTAGAAATACATTATGAATAACGCGGATATAAAAGGAGAGGAAGATTTTGCAGATTAAGGATTTTATAATCCTCCTTCGGGGATTTGATCCTCTACTAAATTAACAACAAAAACGGCAATTTTGCAGTAGGGTGTACATGTAGCAAATATCGTGTAAGTACGCTGTAAACCTGCAGCACGTTGTTGATATGTTTCAAGAAATTCTTATGGAGAAGGTGTTTACTCATTCACAGATCCATTTCAAGTAATAGGATGTTTATATAGCCATGCATATAACTGGATAAACTATATTTGATTTAAATCAACATCAAAAGACTGCTTAGCTATCGTCTTCCTATTCCGCATCTTGATGGGTCCCACGCGCTGTATGAAAAATAAATCCCATGCAAACTTTGTTCAAAATTTAAAATGAATTCCTGTTAAACTAAAATTTTAAATTTGAACTCAAAATTCTTGACATTTTTTTTTTGTTTCTGCTGCACAATTATCTAATATTAATTTGTTGAGTTTAGGCATATAATTAAACCTCTGGAAACTACAGATGCTGGAATTAAGGATCAACTAACCAGGGATTAAGGATTAATGAGCCTCCATTATAAAATCCCCTCAATTCTCTCATATTATTCACTGTATANATAGTGCAAGGAGCAGCTAGTTACCTGAGTTATATAGTTCTACAGGAGCAGCTACCTACCTGAGCTGTATAATTCTAGGAGCAGTATATTTACCCAAGCTGTAAAGTTCTATAGGAGTAGCTAGTTACCTGACCTGTATAGTTCTATAGAAACAGTTTGTTACCTGAGCTGTATAGTTCTAGGAGCAGTTAGTTACCTGAGCTGTATAGTTCTATAGGAGCAGTTAGTTACCTGAGCTCTATATTACTAGGAGCAGCTAGCTACCTGAGCTTTACTGCTTTACAAAATAATGCTTGATTTTTTCTAGCATGTACATCTAAGTTTACAGTGGGTTCTAAAGCATGCAGGTCGGTTCATGCAATGATTAGCATTGTATTAACGAATGATTACCATAGTATTAACGAATGTATTAGAAAATCTTGACCGAGCCCACGGTGATCCAAAGCTAGCAAGCTCTTGCACAAAATTCAATGAGAAATTTGCCAATTTCTTCTTTAAAACAAAAGCTATAAAAAAGTGTTCAATGGCTCAAAAATGTATTTTTAAGTAAGTGAATGAGGGAAAATCAAAGGGAAAGGGGTATCGACACTTTAAAGTCAACCTAGTCTTGAAAATTACTGCAACTTTTCAACATAGCAGGGTTGATCTATGTGCTAGCCCAGCCCTACCCCTCATTTCTTCCTCCTACTTTGTATTTAAATTTCAAAGGAATAAAAGAAAGAGGAAAGAAAAATATTTTGCTAAAAGTTAAAACTTAAAAAGTTCTATTTCTACAAACAACCAAAAACAATAGTGTTTTACACCTAGATGTTAAAAGTAAATTGCACATTTTATTATTTTCATAAATTTGCATATTCAGGAAAAAAAGGATACCCCACACATTCTGAAATTTTTGTTGAATTCACGTCAAATTAAAGTGAATTGGACGGAAGGTTAAAATCTTAAATGTTCTCAATCATAACTTCTCTCTTACTGAAGTGCATTGAAAAGAAAATGGTTTTATTTTCAAATATGGTACTTTCTAGTAATTGTACACAAGTTGAACCAGCAATGTCGCATATATTTGATTATCTTTTTGTTTCCAGTGAGATTTAGAGATAAAAAAGAGTATAATTTCGCAGTAATACGACTCTAAATTATCACATTTTTTTTATTCACCCTGTATGTTTACAATTGGAATAGAGTTTTTGCCACACCGATTTTCTAATCTATATATATCTTTGCCATCCAATGTCTTAGAAGTTTAGAATTTTAATCAATGATTGAACTCTGTTAAGAAAAAAGTAATCTAAGTTTGAAAAATCTAATGCTAATTAACTTACTCAACGAAAGTTAATACAATGTGAAAATGCGAAAATTTAAAATAGACATTTTAACATTTTAGAGAAATTTGTAATTAATTATTTACTTTTAATCAAAAATTCTTTTTCAAAACTTTCCAGCAAGCTTAGTTAATAATCTTGAGATTAAAAATAAACTTTGAGAAAATTAGTTGACTTAATACATTAGTTTACATACAGTTCAGTACCGGCATTTCAGCAGGAAGGTCCTATCTCTTTCTCTCTCTTTGGTATGATACCTGTTCCCAAGGTGGCCCCTACAGCTGTTGCTATGGGGCGAGATAAACACAACCTTTAGTTAACATACTTGACAATGAGTTTTACTCATCGAGTTCTGGGATTATATAGGGAGTGTTTACAAGCTGGTGTAGAGGTGGAGCTAAAACTGTGGTTCAGAGAAGGTATTGAGTACTTCAATTTCTCAAAATTGCAAGCTCCATGGTCTCAGTCCTTAAGAACCCGAAGGAGAAGGAGGAAAAGAATAAAGAGGAGAACATGTGAAAACACAAACCACAATGTCACCGCCCCGTTGGAGGAGAGGTTCATGAGAGCCCCCCAGTCCGAGGAGAGGTCCGTGAGAGCCCCCCAGTCCGAGGTGAGGTCCATGAGAGCCCCCCAGTCCGAGGAGAGGTCCATGAGAGCCCCCCAGTCCGAGGAGAGGTCCATGAGAGCCTCCCAGTCCAAGGAGAGGTCCATGCGGGCCCCCCAGTCCGAGGAGAGGTCCATGAGAGCCTCCCAGTCCGGAGATAGATCCATGAGAGCCCCCCAGTCCGATGAGAGTTCCGGGAAAGCTCCCCAGTCCGAGGGGAGGTCCACGAGAGCCCCCCAGTCCGAGGAGAGGCCTATGAGAAACTCCCAGTCCGGAGAGAGACCCCTGAAAGTTCCGCAATCTGAGGAGAGGTCCGTGAGAGGCCCCCAGTCCATTGTGATTCCGCCAAATGTTGAAGAAATCTCAACTTTAACCCCCCAAAAGAAGAGAAAGACACGCTCTCAATCGTTAGTATCATCCCCTATTCCTCAGCTGGACGGGAATAATAAACATGCAAACTCCGAGTCTGAACCTGATCCAGAGCCTAAAACCCAACCTAACCCTAACCCCGGTGATTCTGAGGAGTCTGGCACTGAATCCGAGACCAGTCCTATATCTAAATCTGATCCATTACCCCCGTCAAATATGGATAACCCTATGTTTGGATATTGCGAAGATAAGCAGTGCCGGTTATGTCCAGTTAAATCAACTGAAAAAGTGGGAAACTACTATGCATGTTTTACAAATAGTTCATTCAAGTGCTGTTGTCAGGCTATACACTGGCATTCTAAAACGAAAATCTGCCTGACATATAATGATATACAAAATCTATAAAAAAAAGAAAATGTACTGAATCCTTTTAATTGATAAAAATAGTGAAAATGTTTAAAAACCAAACATAAAATGTATGTGTAATCGTACAAATCTTAATCAATAATGTATGCATTTAACTTTTTACTGAATAAAAATATTTAGATCTTAAAAAAGTTTACATACAACCAATTCTGTACCCGAAATACATTTTAGAGAATATTAAAATTTAATCTTTCGACACGTCTGATAGTCTGTAGTTTTTATCACAAAAAAAAAAACATCAAAACGGCAGAACGATGGGAAGGTTTATCGATGGTGATAATTTACAAATGTTCCCTTCAAAATTTAGATTGAAAACATATTGGAAATCTACTGAAGAAAACAGAAAAAAAAGGGGATTTTTTTAATTTCAAAATAAAATAGAAAAAAATGGTGGCCCACAGGAAAAAAACTTTTTCAAGCTGAAAAAAGAGATTCTACAGCTAAATATATGTTTATAGATTTACTTTACACTGGCTAAAGTATCCAGAATTTTAGAAAAACTTAATTTTTTTTTCAAATTTTATAAAAAAATCGAGACTTTTTGAGGCTATGCTGCCCCCTCCCCCCCACCCATGGGTTCCATAAAACAATTCCGCTTTCCGGCGATATCGCCATTTATACTGAAATGTACTGTTAAAGTCTAGCTGTGCCGTTCATAAAATTGAGATCGTTGACAAACGGTACTATTAAAAAAAAATGATAAATACGGTTAACGAAATGTTTTGTTTTTACTCTCTAAAGCTAACGGCTACCTAAGAAATAAAGGGTTAACTAACCATTAATGAAGCAGCTTGAAAAAGGTTGGAACATCCACAGCTCTAGCTTTATCTAACATATATATATATTTTATATTCATATATACATATAAAAATAAATAATCAATTTAATATTCAATATTAAAACAGAAAAACATCTTAATTTTTATAGAGGCGAAGAGCTTTGTCATATAGATTACTTGTTGAAGTGCCAGCGTTGCACGTTAAATTTTCCCTTTTTAACAACATTCCCGTTTTCCAAACCATACAGTTGAACCATAAACTACAGTCAACATGTAAGCTCCTTTTGTATCAAACATCCTTTGGGAAACTGCTTAAAACTTTTTTGTAATCAAAGATAATGTCTTCTTTGATAATATTGATACAAACTCAAGCACAAACAGTGTACACTGTACACTTGAATATCCGAGCTGGGTCAACCTTTATACACTGTACACTGTACACTTAAATATCCGAGCTGGGTCAACCTTTACACACTGCACTGTATTTTGATCTTTTTCCTCCGCTGCCCATTTATATATATTAATTATAATTGAAAACTTATGTTCTTTTGATACTGAGAGCTGGTTTATCTTTCTGTGAAAATCACATTTCTATTTTCTGACCCCCCTGCAAATAATATTTCTAGACTAGAACATAAAAGAACTAGATTTGACAGATTATTTTCTGCCAAGGGGGAATTTAATTTCATTAAGTTTTTAATTCAAACTCCACCGAAAGAATCTCTACAATCTTCAACATAGATTAACATTATTTCATTTTCTAAGATGCAAAACCTTTTTAGTGGCGACAAATTAATAAGCGCTTTTGTTCCACTGAAGACAAAGTATAACAAACAAACAAAAAAAATTGACGATAATTTTATTTGGAGGAAAAAAACAGAAGTGGAATAATTGTCAATTTTACTTTCAGCCAATAGAATACAAGCAAACTGTACTTTTCTTTTCACTTTTTAGCACTTCTCGCCCTCAAATCAAAAGTTCCAATGGTGCATAGAATTCTGTTGTAGATTAGCACTATCTTGCACAGAAGGTCCAACCGTAGAATTTTGTTAACTGAGCAAAAACGACCGTTATTTTTATATAATTATTTACATTATATAATTTATATTATAAATTATTTTTATATATATAATTTATCATTTTTATGAAATCGGTTGTTAACCCTTTTCCTGCTGGGGGGGGGGGCAATTAAACCCCCCCCCCCTGTAGTTTTTTTATATAACTCAAAAAGTATTTGTCATAGGCTTTTGAACTTTTATGATTCTTTCCTAAATACCCATGGCCCTCTCTTTAGGTATTAAACCGGGTTTTTAAACTAACTGTCTGAGAATTCAAACAAAAATTTGTTTGCAGATTCTAAAAGTAGAGTATATAACAGCTTTTCAATTTTGTATCATTTGTCATATTTGGACATCAAGCTTGGAATTACAGTGTGGGGTCAAATTGAGGGTTAACGTTTAGTTTTTAGCTATAGGAAGCAATGAATATCTCTTAACTTCTTTAGAACTTCAACGCACAGTTAAAAAAAATGCCTGAATATGCTGATTACTAAGCTCTAAATGTGCCCTGAGGATCATTTTTCTTGTTTACCTATTTCATTCTTTCCTAAAATTTCTTTTTTCTTCTCCTGTTACATTTAAATTAGCTGGCCTAGTTATTAACTTAATCAACTCAGATTGGAGTCGGTGGATATCAACAACTTCTTTGTTCTTGCAAGGTTAACACACCATTAAAAAATTGTCGTCATTTAAAATTACAATTAATATAGTAAAGGATCTTAAGAAGGTAAAATGATCGGAAAGAGAAAAGGAAGCAGTGCTTTGATCATTCTATCTAGAGTTTCGCTCTTGCTACCTTCATTTGATTTTGCCTTTTTTCAACCCTTTTAAAGACTTTCTTTTTTAAATGGTGTTTTTAAAGTCTGGCAAATTTGAAAATGGTATATGGAGTAGCAAGCAGAAAGGGGATGACTGGAGAAAAATATGCTTGGTTTGCTGGAACAAAGGTATAAATATAGAAAAAGTATAAATAAACATGGGAATTAAGGAAAAATTACAAAAAATAAAAGATTGACTTATCCTTTAGTGTATATTCTACTCTAGGATTCTGGTCAAGAGTTTGATCAAACCTGCTGCGAGCGAATGAAAGTTGCATTCTTCCATGCTTCCCCCATACCATCCAATATAATGCGAAGCTTGAAGACTATGAAGAACGGGTTGACCGGCATGCCTGAAGTCGATGCAGGATTCTACTTTGATCTAGCGGTCAGGGCAGCTACCAGCATGAAGAAGCTTATGGCAGGAATCGGATCTAAATGCATTAATATCAAATAATAATTCAAACTTATTACAAGTTTTGTCTTTATTTATCCCAAATAGATTATCAAGTACAATAGATGGCAACAAAGAAATGGACCAATTATGCACGTTGACATTAGTTGACATGTTTTCCAAGATTAAATACAAAAGTCTAAAAACAGAAAATAAAGAACACATGAAATTGCACTAATTTTACTGTAAGATAATCACTTTATTCTTAAATTATCACAATTATTAAAAATTTTGTGGGACACAAAAACTAAGTTGTGACGTAAGAATACAGCTGTACTGAGAGTATACAAATTCTACGTTGCCATCTATTCTAAATCTATTTGATTTATCCCACCATTTTGTAAGTAATTTGTTGATCTTACCGGTTCAATAGCCGTTCAAAATAACGAACTCTTTGAATTACAAACTAAATTTTAAAAATATAAAAAAGATAATCTTAATTAAGAAAAAATTTTGGTAGTTCAATATTTTGAATGAAATGTTAGGAATTATTCTAACAGTGAAGAAAGAAGATAATAAAATTATGGTTATGTTTAAAATATTTACAAATGTATTTAATGATGAAGGAGGAAGCCTTCCCAATTACTCTCTATCCAAGTGCAGTGAGTATACTGAAACAACACCAGTGGCAAGAAGTATTGATCTTCTCTCGGTTTTTAAGGTAAAAATAATATCTCCCCCAAACTCTAATTTTCTAGTCCTTAAAGGTTTTAAATCAGAGCTGGAAACTTTTTCATTGGATAAAATAACCATGATTCCTTGATCTCGATATCTACTGTGGGGGCCCTTTCATGTCAGGGTAATACTTCATCAGCCCACGATAGAATTACCAGGCGGGATTTTGAATAAAGATTAAATTTCTCTGCAGATTAACAAATATGGCGATCAGGCAATGATCTCGATATCCAAGAGTTCCCAGCTCGTAGAAAAACAGGATAAAAGATGTTTTTTTTCACCAACAAAATATCATTGATTTTTTATTCTATGATGAGAGCACTATTTTTTTATTATTAAAGAAAATGGAATCCAAAATATTCTTTGTTTGCTGCAATGCAAGGAAGTCATAGGTCTTGTTTTTTTAGTAATGCAATTAATTTAGAGTTGTTCAAACACACAAAGAACGTTTCCATGGCTTTAACAAGTTCTCCAATAATGGGTGAAGGGGTTAAGTTAATGAGTTATGATAAAAATAGATTAAATTCTTACTTTTTTAGAGAAACCAAATCAAACAAAAAAATGTTTATTCTAAAACATTTTTTGTTTGATTTTCAGTAATATGTAATACTGCAACTTTCTATGATTTGACATATCCTTTAAAATATTTTTCCCTAGCGTATATAGTAAAATAAAAACTCAAACTGATATGTTGTATACAAACTGATATGTTTTATACAAACTGATATGTTTTATACAAACTGATATGTTTCTTTTTAATACTCGATGAACTGAATTTAACAATTGTAACTTTTAAAATATTAGATTTAAAGTTTTCTTACAATCAAGATGTTTTCTTCTAAATGTGTATTTGTAGAGAAAAGTCTGAATAGAAAAGAATTGGTTTAGTTGAGAAGTAAGTTGTGAAGAGTAACAATACTACATGATAACAACTAACAAGCCCAACACAGAGTAGCAAACTTCTCAGATTAACCAGAAAATGCCTTACACAGAGTATCAAACATCTCAGATTCACCAGTAAATGCCTTGCACAGAGTATCAAACATCTCAGATTAAACAGTAATTGCCTAGCACAGAGTAGCAAACATCTCAGATTAACCAGTAAATGCTTAACACAGAGTAACAATACTACATGATAACAACTAACAAGCCTAACACAGAGTAGCAGACATCTTAGATTAACTACAGTGAAACCCTTAATAACGAATACATCGGAAGAATTTATCAAATGTCGTCTTGACAATTTTTCAATGAATTTTATACTATATTACGTAAATTTCAGTTTTTGCGAAAATAAATAAATAGTCATGAATATGCGGGAACAGTTTTAAAGAGTTCCATATAATCATTTAATTAAAAAACTAAAGTCTGCAACATTCCATTATTAGAAAGTGAAGAAGACGACATTTGGTGAATTCTTTCGATGTATTCGTTATTAAGGGTTTCACTGTAGTAAATGCTTAACACAGAGTAACAATACTACATGATAACAACTAACAAGCCTAACACAGAGTAGCAAACATCTCAGATTAACCAGTAAATGCCTAGCACAGAGTATCAAACATCTCAGATTAATCAGTAAAAGCCTACACATAGTAGCAAACATCTCAGATTAACCAGTAAAAGCCTACACATAGTAGCAAACATCTCAGATTAACCAGTACAACTTTAAACGTTCAAAATAGAGCTAAACAAAGTTTCTTAAAGGGAGAGACTGGCTAGACATGGTAGTTGAGCAAAGAGTGCAGAAATGTGTTGTGAAGATTTTTTTTTGATTCATTTGAGACCATAAAATACGTTTTTTTATGGAATATGCAAGAGCAAAATTTCTATCTTTAAAATAGAGCTAAACAAAGTTTCTTAAAGGGAGAGACTGGCTAGTCATGGTAGTTGAGCAAAGAGTGCAGAAATGTGTTGTAAAGATTTTTTTTGATTCATTTGAGACCATAAAATACGTTTTTTTATGGAATTTGCTAAAATCCTCCTGAGGCCTGCCCCCCCCCCCTATTTTAATAAACAAATTTTGGTAAACTATCGATACACCGTAAAAAGGTATTAAAGTCTAAAATGAACCTTTTTGAAAAAATCTCTACCATACAATACTGCACTCGCAGCTTAACTCGTGTTTTAAGAAGACCCTTCACCTCGGACTAACCAGAGTGATAAGCATTCGGTTACTTTTACTTGTAATTAAACGTGTTTTTGTCTATAATTCAATCATCTTTAAACTTACGGATTTGTTTATTTTATACTTTTTCATTCAAAACGTATATGCCAACAAAAAAGTATTTGTAAAAAAAAGGTCAAAATTTCTGTATAAGGGGTGAAATTGTGATTGAAAGTCGCAGGTTCCTGAAATATTGACAGAACAGTTATATCCCAGGGGTCAATATAATTCCCTTTTCAATCCCATTTGGGATTGACAAATTTGAAAGAAATGGGGGCAAATTCTTTAATTGGGGGCAAATTTTTTTTATATGATAATTTAAAAAAAAATTGGGGGCATTTTTTTAAAAATTGGGGGCAATGGGGCAAATGTGTTAGTGGAATTTGAAAAAAAAATTTTAACTGGGGGCATTTTTCTTAAAAATTGGGGGCATTTTTTTTCAAAATTGGGGGCAAAAAATTATTTTTGGATCGAGAAAATCAGCTTTTTTGGGAATTATATTGACCCCTGTTATATCCACGTGCCTTTATTCAAAAATGTCAGATTCTCAATGGTTATGTGTGATCAATAATACATGAGATATTTATCATCTTCTTTTTTAAATTTGATTATTGTGGTTTCTCAGTGGAATATTTTAGTACACATTTCGGTTGAATAATTTTGTTTGTGACAACTCAGAAATACTGAAGCATCTCTTTTCAATTCAGCATGAGTCTGGGAATTTATAAAATATTAACTTCCTTCAAAGAATTTTTTGCAACTTTAAGAAAAAGTATAAATTCGTTCCAAAAGTTAACATCTTGAAGAAAAACAAGTTTAAAATAAAAATGGTTGATTCCCGATTCGTCGTGAAAATGTAACGGGACAGAAAAACATTCCTTTGCAATTGTTTCCTCTTTTTCTTGTACAAAGAAGATAAGAACTGGAAATTATTTATTTTATCTAGTATTTTATGGAACTATCTTCATAAATTGATAATCCCAGGATGTCATATAAAGATTAATTTCATTTTCACTAAAATTTATTAAAAATTGAATGAGAAAAAAATTAGAGTGGGAATCTGCAGTAGATTATTTTAAATTATAACCTTAGAACTGTTATGACTTAAAATTGCAAGTAAAAGGCTTACATATTTTGTTATTCCTCATTCAATCGTTGATGTATTTTTTGGAAATTTTGGAAAAGACTAAAATATACATTTTCCAAACAATTTTTCAACAATTTCATTTTTTTCAAAAATACTGGTTTCTCGAATTTTTTATTCAATGTTCCAAAAATATTTTAAAAATTTTTTATCACATTTTTTTATTTTTACCTAAAATCCGAACAAAATCAAAATTTAAAAAGTTTGTTTAAATCATCGATAATCCCTGTTTTTTATACTCGTAGGTCTCTCATTCAGTTCCCCAAAAAATTATTCAGTTTTTCAAGAAATTCCTGAGTAAAGGAATTGAGTCTTTGCCACAAACTCTGATTTTTTAATCCCAATATCTTTGGAACCAAATGTTGCAGACCTTAGATATTTCAAACTATGAATTCTATTAAATCAAATAATCTGAGTTTGAAATAATAAAGGTTTACAACATTGGGTTCTAAAGATATTGAGGTTGAAATATTTGATTTTGTTTCAAAGACTCAATTCCTTTCTGGAATATTTCTCCGGAAACTCCTGTGATATTTTCAAGACTTGGTCATCAATTTTACGTATTTTTTGGGAAACTGAATAGGAAACTTAGTTTCGAGAAATTTCCCAAGAAATTCTTGACAATTTCTCCGGAAATTCCTGAGAAATTCTCATATCCAGGTCAACAATTTTACGGTTTTTTGGGAAACTGAATAAGAGACTTAGTCCCAAGAAATTCTCAAGAATTTCACAGGATTATTTCTCTGGAAATTCCTTTATAATTCTAAATACTTCATCGTCAATTTAACATATTTTTCAAGTTCCGGTTTTCTCCAACAGGTTCTATTCTATTATGCATGCACTGCAAACTAACAAAATCTGTTTTCTTTGCATACTTATTGATGAAAAGTGATGATTATCTTTAGAACTATCTTAAAGGAGGTATTTTTTTAAATAATAAAATTTTGTTGTCTAAAGATGCAAAATACAAGACAATTTTACTAAGATCCAAAACAACTATAATAATATGACTTAAGAAGTTGGTTATATTTTAAAAACTTTAGGAGTGGCAATTTAGATAGTTTACTACTATTGTTACTCAAGAATATCTATAAGAATATCTCTGAAGATATTCCTAAGGAACTCTTAAGAAAATCTTGGAAATAGTTCACAGGAAATTCCCAGGTATTGGTTCTGAAGTACTTTTCTCTGGAAATTCCCAAAAATGTCCCCAAATTTGGTTGACATTTTCTCCAGTTATTCTTTAGAGTTGGTAACAAGAAAGTCGCTGGAATTGGTTTCAAAAAATAACCCCGGAATGTCCTATATACAGGTTGATAACCCAAGAATGTCCTATATGAATAGGTTGATAACCCCCTGAATGTCCTATGTATAGGTTGATAACCCCTGAATGTCCTATATGTATAGGTTGATAACCCCGGAATGTCCTATGTATAGGTTGATAACCCCGGAATGTCCTATGTATAGGTTGATAACCCTGGAATGTCCTATGCCTATGGACCAATGAAGATCTCTTCCAATGGATTAAGCATGATGAACTTCAAAGTCAACCTCCTGAGTTATACTATCGAGAGTATGAAAGTTGCGGACAGGTTATTAAATTCTTTTCAATTAAAATCATGCGAGAATAATTAAGAACTATTTTCTTATGACTTCTCCCAATAAAAGTCGAAAAACTTAACTTAGAAATGTAATTCCAAGCTAAGAACATTTCCGTGGTTCTCCCAAGTTCCCCAATCAAAATGTGAGGCAAATAGGTCAAGGGGTGCTCGAGATTTCATAGGCATCCAAACAAACAAGAAAAAACAATCACCCATACAAAGTTTACTGCTTAATATATAGAGATATGAATATGTAAGGACTGTTATAGATTTTGATAAGATTATTGTATTCAATTTTAAATTTACTACTCTAATCATGTGTTTTAACTTTTCCTTTAATTTGAAAATTTACCCAAAATATTCAAGAAAATCCACGAAAATGAAAATAGAGTTTGTTGCATATAATCAGAATTAGCTCGGATACCAATATATAACCTTTTTTCCTCAAGATGATAAAACTAAGACTAAAAGTGTTGGATAACTATTGTATAAAATTGATAAATCATTTTACTATTTTTAATGCAATTATTTGCAATTATTAAGAACATTTAATTTGAAATTATGAAAATTTTTATGAAACTGTGTTTGAATTAGGAAAATTTATTCGATATTATGATCATCGTAATCAAAATTAAACAAACTTCTTTTTGAAATTGATTTGAAATCTAAAAATATGTTCTAATATTATTCTTTCCTGTTTTTATCATATAGATTATATTCAAATTTTTATTTTAGTTTGTTCATAATTTTAAATTACTTTTGGTATTGATATATATTACCAACAACATTTTAGGCGGTTATTTAAGATATTTTTTGTTTTCATAAATTTTCTTTGTACCTTGAAACTGTCTTGTTTACTGTTCACTTACATTTGGCCCTTGAGAGTAAAGTTAAATTGCATGACAGAAAATCATTAAAACAATTCAAAACACAATCAAACCAACAACTTGGTCCGTCTTATCATGGTCCATGTGACTTTAATACCAGACAACGCTAAGGTTGTACGGACTTGGACTAAATGATCAAGTATTTAAAGGTTTACGACATCAGATTGAAAAGAAAATAAAAGACCACCATATACTCTTTTTGATAGTTATATCCAACATGGTATTCTTAACTTTTGTCAAAAACTTTGATTTTCTCATCCCTTTATTTTTGCAACCCAATGTCGAAGATCTTAGAAATTTCCAATTATGAATTCTGCCAGATCATATAATCTATGTTTCAAATATCAAAGATTTACTCTATTAGGCTGTAACACTATAGGTATTTAATAAGAAATGAAATTAAATGGCTAATGAGTAAAAAGAAAAAACTTTAGCGGGTTGCTAATAAGCAAGAATGAATGATGACGTGTTCCACCACAGGTTGGATAAACTGCAGGAACAACAGGAATAGTGGAGAAAATAGGCTTAAGTCTATCAACAGAAACAGAATCTTCCACCATCTCTGTACAGGAAGGAGATAGGAAGCTGGGAATGGGGAAGTAGTATCATGTATTCTCCTGGTATGATGAACTCCATGTCAGGGTTTAGGGCGACCACGGTGTACAGGGTGGTCACGGTGCTCCAGGCCCCCTTCATGATGATGGACGAGCAAGGTAACAGTTGTTTTAACAAATCTTTCATTTCAAAATCTAAAACATGTTCTCTAGAAACCACACCTGAGCCCAAAATTTTAAAGAGTATCGTTGAACGAAACTCCCAAGTTTCCATTTTAGGGTCTTAACAGTTTTGTAGATTTTGATTTAAGAGATTCGAAAAAATTGAAAATATGAAGAAACTAAGTAAAATAATATTTCATAACAAAAATATTGATATTCACAAAGCTGCCTGGCCCCATTCATGAAACCTGGGTTGTAAAACTGGTTTTCAAACCGACACCCTGTCTTAAGTTTTGGGCTCAAAGGCTGTAGTTGAAGATATAGATAAGATCAAAGAACTGCACTAGGAGCCCCCAAATCAAATGTACAGAATTGGAGTCCCTCTAAGCCCAAAAATTAACGTTATGAAACCCAGTTTCGGAACACTGGTTTCACGAATGGGGTTAGGCAGTTTTGTGGATATCAATATTGTTGTAATGAAATATTATCTTTTTTTCGTTTCTTCTTATTCTCCATTTTTTTAAGTTTCTTAAATCAAAATCTACACAAATCTTAAGACCCCTAAAAAAGGAAACTCGAGAGTTTCGTTCAACGATACTCTTTTAAATTGCAGGCTCAGGGAGCAATGTAAGTATAACCCCCCCCCCCCCTCCCCAGTGCTCCCACAACCTGTGAAAGGGAAGGATTAAAGCTCTAAGAAACACTAGTAGTTTTCTTAAACTTGTGTTGCAACAAATTACAAAATATCATGAATTTTGGAGGGAGATACAAGTTACAACTGATGCGGCCTGCCCTACCATATGATTATACATGGTTTGCAGTTGGTACTTCATTTGAATAAGAAATATTTGTCTGATGTACAATTACTACATATACATTAACCAATTCTGAATATTTCTTATACAAATGGAGTAATGCCTGCAAACCATGTATAATCACATGGTAGGGCAGGCCGCTTCAGTTGTATCTCCCTTCTATTCCATACTCCCACTCCTTGATTATCACTTATCTTCCCTTCCCCTCTTCCAATACCATACATAAATTATGTTTTTTCCCCTAGATTCTTTGTTTTCATCTCGTCCCAATGCTATACACAGATTTAACGCATCAGATATGGCGGTTCTTAGTCAATATATATTTCTTGAATTAGATGTTCTGTATTTTGCTCCTGAGCCTGAAATTTAAAAAAAATCAAGATCTACAAAATTGCCTTGCCCCATTTGTGAAACCTCATATTCATACACTAAACTATCAAGGTTTGACAACATATTCAGAACTTCATGAACTTACAAAATTCTGAATATTTAGACCCTGAACTGAACGATCAAAGTTCTGTGCACACTGAATCAAACTGTTAATATTCTAAACATACAGATTATCAAATATAAAAATTCTGAACTTAGATTCTTTACTATCAAAATATTATTGTAATTAGACCCTCAACTATTAAAATTTGGTCCCTTGGTTATTAAAGTTCTAAATATTTTGACATTTTACTTTCAAATTCTACATAATCAGACCATAATATCAAAATTTTATCGTTTTTAGACTTTTGACAATTAAGATTTGACATGTTCTGGTCAGTGGTCACTTTTATATACAATTTGATGTGTATGAACTAAATTAAAATTGCTTCAAAGGCGTCCGCGCAAATTTTAAATGTATAAAATATTAAATTTCTATTAAAAATAAACTATTCTAATTTTTTTTGATTATTTTTTAAGAAATAGATTACACAGATAATTACAAATAATCTTTTATTACTTTTTAAATTAAAACAATGAAATAGGGAATATAAGAAATGAAATTAAATGGCTAATGAGTAAAAAGAAAAAACTTTAGCGGGTTGCTAATAAGCAAGAATGAATGATGACGTGTTCCACCAAAGGTTGGATAAACTGCAGGAACAACAGTAATAGTGGAGAAAATAGGCTTAAGTCTATCAACAGAAACAGAATCTTCCTTGTTACCATCTGCAATACAAAGAACTTGTCTGAACTCTTAATGAGGACGCAATAAGGAACTCTGTAAAGTTGAGAGAGTGATGGAGTAACATCATCCTCTCTTACAAAACAAACTCACATTTAGGGCTTGGTGGTCGTTCCTTGGGAACAATCGTTCTTTCACAAGAACAAATGGAACAATCAAGAACGATCCCATTGTTCTGAAAAAAGAAAGATTTTTTTGAAGCATCTTTTTTACGGAAGGGAAAGCGTCTTGAAGCTGGACCATCAGCTTAAAAAATTATGAATTTGCTGATGAAGCAGATGGAGCAGGATTAAGAGAGTAGGGCCTGGATAGAGCATCAGCTACAGGATTTTCAGCATCAGAAACATGGATGATTGTAGTTGTAAACTCCTATATGACTTTAT